CTTTACCCCACTGATCAGCTGATCTCTTGAGGTGGTCAATAAAGCAACAGTTTATTACCGTAAGTCTTCCTGATAAAACCTTACAACCCGGAAATAATGTTCGGTCAGCGCCATAACTCAGCTTTATTTGCAGCTCAAGCTGAAGTTCATGTTTTGTGTGTGTATGAGCCTTCATATGTGACTCTTGAGAACCTGGATCTATACGGATTGTTCATTTCGTAAGATGTTCATTAGAAATGGAACTACGTAGTTTTTTCTTTGTAATCAATCGTCATGACCTTCCATCTCACCCTTAGTCCAGCTTTCTTCTAGCTTTCTCCCAGCTTTCTTTCAGCTTTCTTTCAGCTTTCTCCCAGCTTTCCCCCAGCTTTCTTCCAGCTTTCTTCCAGCTTTCCCCCCGGCACCGCGTGACCACATTAACCCGAGCGTTCTGCAAGGCTGGCTGCTAAGATCTTCGGTAACTTTTTAAAGTAACTTTATGAGACCAAAATCGATGCACCTGTTGCTGATCGTGCTGCTGCCAAGCTGTTTATATTTTGTTCCTGGTCGACCCTGGTAGTAGCATCCTATCGTTCTATTACTCTTGAGATAGGCAGCCTGCTATCACTCTTGGGATAGATAGCATCCAATGATTGATGGGATAGGCAGTGTTCTATCACTCATAAGATAGATAGCATCCTAGCATTTACGGGATAGTGTTCTATCATTTATGGAATAGGTAGTGTCCTATCTTTTATAGGATAGGTACTGTTCTTTCATTTATGGGATAGGTAGCGTTCTATCCTTTACTGGGATAGGTTGCGTCCTGTAATTTGTAAGCTATATTACATTCTGTCACTTCTAGAATACATGGCACCTATTCATATTCACCCAAACATATTAATATATAAATATCTAGCCTACGCTTGAAACAATTCCACGATCCATTGTATTAACCGGTAATTTGTTCCATAAATCAAGAATCTTGTTTCCCAAACCAGTATTTACCCAGGTCTTTCTTGGTTTTAAACTCCATCTCGGTTTTAGGGGGGACTGGGGATAAATTTTTGGTGCAATGACCACAGCTACGGCCATTGGGGAAGCCAGGGACGCGGGTTTGAGTCAATTGTACAGCTTCAATATTTTGTCGTATATGGTTCGGTCAGGAAGAGTCGAACCCTGAGATGTGTTGATTCCTTAGACGAGTCGATCCCTGAGACAAAACGTATTGAAGGAATCTGTGTTTGTTTGTCAAACTTCTTATCAGACTGCTCGAGTGTGCTTATCTCTATATCTCTCCCTATCCCCTTCACACCCCTCATTCCCCCTTCACCCCCCTCAACCCCCCCCTCAAACCCCCTCTCACCCCCTCTTATCATCCTTCGCCGTTTAATTTAATTCCCACAACTTGTTCCGAGGTAAAAATTCGACAGAGAATCCTGATTTTCATTTCTGGTTAGTGGCAACGAATTTCTAAAGGAATTTATGATTGAACGTCGTGTGTGTGTGTGTGTGTGTGTGTGTGTGTGTGTGTGTGTGTGTGTGTGTGTGTGTGTGTGTGTGTGTGTGTGTGTGTGTACTTACCAAAGTGTGATAGATAGGGCGTGGGGGTTGAGTTTCAGCTCTTAGACCTGCCTCTCAACTATTAACCAACAGGTGTACTCACCTAGTTCTCACCTACTTGTGTTTGCGGGGGTTGAGCTCTGGCTCTTTGGTCCCGCCTCTCAACCATCAATACACAAGGTGTGTATGTGTTCCTGTGAATTTGTCTTTGCACGTTAAGAACAATTGTCACAGGTAAGGGGAGTTTGTAAATAAGGTTATATGCACGACTATAACACGCCAATTCTTCTTCTCTCCCACTCCCCTAATATGTCTCCCCCCCCCATGTACCCAGCCACCAAACCCACTGCCACAACACACACTCTTCCACTGTTGTTGTTGTTTAAGATTCGCTACATGGAACAATAAGTTCGAAGTAGCGCGGGCTATGGTGAGCCCGTTTTGGACTTACCTGGCACAGGAGCGGGGCAAGTAGTCCCGTTTTGGACTTACCTGGCACAGGAGCGGGGCAAGTACTACACCATGGTGAGCCCTTTTTTATACTTACCCACCCCTGTCTCATCACTACACCTATTTTTATCCAGAAAATGTTCAAACTATTTCCTCCAGAAAATGTTAAACAGCCCTCCCTCCCTACCCCTACGATCTCCAACAACACCTCTCTCTCTCTCTCTCTCTCTCTCTCTCTCTCTCTCTCTCTCTCTCTCTCTCTCTCTCTCTCTCTCTCTCTCTCTCTCTCTCTCTCTCTCTCTCTCTCTCTCTCTCTCTCTCTCCTATATAACATCACTCCCCCTTCCATCTCCCTCCTAACCATCAAACTCTCCCCTCCCTCGGTATCATCCCAACTTCCTCATCACCAAACGGCATCTCCCGTAATCATCATCCGGTTCATAATTCATCTCCTTCATCAGGCGTTTTCCACCAAGAAAGGAACTATCAGGGATAAAGCGCCAAGCCATTACAACTACATAGCACTTGGAAAGGATAAGGATTTGGGATGGGACGGGGGGAAAGGAATGGTGCCCCAACCACTTGGTGGACGGTCGGGGGATTGAACACCGACCTGCACGAAGCGATACCGTCGCTCTACCGTCCAATCCAAGTGGCTGGTTAAGACGCTGCCGGATACGAGAACAACGTGACCGGAAACGAAACATCTAGTTCACGTATGTGCTGTTAAACCGCTCTTCTTCCTCCTTCTTCTTCTCCTCCTCCTCCTTCTTCTCCTCCTCCTTCTTCTCCTCCTCCTCCTTCTTCTCCTCCTCCTCCTTCTTCTCCTCCTCCTTCTTCTCCTCCTCCTCCTTCCTCGTTGGTGCAAGCGACCCAATTTCCACCAACTACTTCGTTTGTATTTCATATTTTCTTCCCGGTGACAGGGTTATCGCAGAGGGGGGGGGGGGGTGTGTTGACTCTTCGTGGGTGTTTAAAGTTGTGACACATGCACCGTGAGAGTTCGAAGTCTGAAACACACACACACATACACACAGTAATGTGGTGTGGTGGAGGCTGACTCCATACACAGTTTCAAGTGTAGATATGATAGAGCCCAGTAGGCTCAGGAACCTGTACACCAGTTGATCGACCGTTGAGAGGCGGGACCAAAGAGCCAGAGCTCAACCCCCGCAAGCACAACTAGGTGAGTACAACTAGGTAAGCACACACACACACACACACATGGAACAAGTTAGGTGAGAAGGTGGTGGAGGCCAAGACCGTCAGTAGTTTCAAAGCGTTATATGACAAAGAGTGCTGGGAAGACGGGACACCACGAGCGTAGCTCTCATCCTGTAACTACACTTAGGTAATTACACACACACACACACACACACACACACACACACACACACACACACACACACACACACACACACACACACACACACACACACACACACACACCACGAGCGTAAAAAATATCACATCTCCAATCACTAATCGTACAGAATACCTTACCAATCAAGCTTTAAAGTTGTGGATGGAGGTGGCTTCCACAACCTCCACACTTTCCCAACCGTGAGCCACGATTACATATCTCAAGGTGAAGCAAACTCCAATGAAATAACGAGTTACAGCAAAGGTTATTTGATGTTTTATCAGCAGCATCCGGGAGAGAGATTCATCTCCGGCTGAGTGGCCTCGAACGATTAGGTAATACGAGACCACAGTCCAACAGTCTGGAGCCAGATTCACGAAAGCACTTACGCAAGTACTTACGAACCTGTACACCTTTTCTCAATCTTTGGCGGCTTTGTTTCCAATTATTAAACAGTTTACAAGCATGAAAACTTCCCAATCAACTGTTGTTATTGTTATAAACAGCCTCCTGATGCTTCGGAGCTCATTAACTGTTTAATAAGTGTAAACAAAGCCGCCAAAGAATGAGAAAAGAAGTACAGGTTCGTAATTGCTTGCGTAAGTGCTTTCGTGAATCTGGCCCCTGGTGTCGACAGTCACGTTCTCCATTTCTGGCCCATTTTTTGTTATTAAATGATTATTGTCATGTAAATTGACTATTTTCACTATTAAATCCACTATTTTTTTCCATTTAAGCTACTATTATCACTATTAAACTGCTGTTTTAATTATTAAGGCGATTTTTTTAGTTATAATGACTATTTTTACAATTAAAACTGTGTAATTTTCACTGTTAAAATGACCATTTCCCTGATTAAGAAAAACTATTTTCACTATTAAATCATAAATTTTCACAAACAAAGCTACAAATTTCACTAATAAATTACTATTTTTCTAATTAAAACAACAATATCAGCATTAAACCGACAATTTTCAGTATTAAAACGACCATTTTTACTATTAAACTGCCAATTTGCTCCTAAGAACCAATATCTCACACACAGTTCGGTTCCGTTTTATCTTTAACCGGACTCATGGGTCTCGTTAACCGGTTTTTGAGAGAGCGCCAACTACGACATAGCGGAGGATGCGCGAAGCTCCAGACGGCATCGGAAACCTTTAAGGCAATCATCGTAGACGGTCGTTAGTAAGCTAGAGAGACGGTCGTTAGGCGGAGAGAGACACGCGGCGCGAACAGCCTGGTTAAGCAAATTAGCTAGACTCTTGAGCGGCATCAGTGGATCCTGTAATCATGTCCTTTTGCCTGACGTGATTCATTAAAGAGCCTTGCCAGAGGCACGCTGAGAGGCTGCGCTGCCTCTTTTAGTATCCACGGTGATACTTTGGTCCATAGTGCTTTAGTTGCATCCAGGATTGTCAACTGTTTCATTTCCTTCTATTTCTTCCTTATTCCTCTCTCCCTTCCTTAATCTCTATCTCTCCCTCCCTCCCCCGACAACCAAAGCTAGGTAGGTGAGAAATTTGCGAAGTAGAAAAGACAAAATCTTGGTTTAAATTAGGATTTAGGGCGACATTTGCCAAATCTAGAGATAAATCTAAGATAAAGATAAAGATAAATCTAGAGGTAGGAGCAGCGGTCTCACCTGAGGCCAGGGAGGAGAGAGAGGCCGCTGACATCTCGTCTCCTTGGGCACCGTAGTGCCGAACATCATCAACATCCTGGTGGCACTGGTCCACCTGCAGGAGAGAGAGAGCTGTAGTGGTCATCATCCTGGTCCATCTGGTCCACCTGCAGGAGAGAGAGAGCTGTAGTGGTCATCTTTCTGGTCCATCTGGTCCACCTGCAGGAGAGAGAGAGCTGTAGTGGTCATCTTTCTGGTCCATCTGGTCCACCTGCAGGGAAGAGAGGTGTCACAATAACGTGGCTGAAATATGTTGATCAAACCAACAAATCCACAAGGGCTGTGACGAGGATTCGAACCTGCGTCCGGGAGCATCCCAGACACTGCTTTAATCGACTGAGCTGAGCTCACGGCCCTTGTGGATTTGTTCATTTGATGCATCACGTTAGTGTGATCTCTGTGTATGTTGACCAAACCACACACTAGAAAGTGAAGGGACGACGACGTTTCGGTCTGTCCTGGACCATTCTCAAGTTGAATTGTAGTGGTCTACCTGGAGGATTGAGAGGGCACTGTCCTTGTTCCTGTGATCCTCCTGTAGGGCAAGAGAGCGCTCTAGTGGTCCAAAACACAGATATGAAAGAGGTGTTGCTCCTAGTGTTTCTCGTACTCTACTACCATTTATTTTATTAACAAACATAATTAATAAATTAAGAATTTTAAGTGAATCAATAAATTAAACAATTCGAAAAAGCTTCGGTTAATTTTAGAATTAAAAAAAAGAGTGAATATTTGATAAGGAACATTGAATAAAATCATAAGATGCGGGATCCACAGACTAACATACAGGGAGCCGGGCGTACAGGGAGCCGGGCGTACAGGGAGCCGGGCGTACAGGGAGCCGGTCGTACAGGGAGCCAGTCGTACAGGGAGCCGGGCGTACAGGGAGCCGGTCGGCCGAGCGGACAGCACGCTGGACTTGTGGTCCTGGGTTCGATCCCAGGCGCTGGCGAGAAACAATGGGCAGAGTTTCTTTCACCCTATGCCCCTGTTACCTAGCAGTAAAATAGGTACCTGGGAGTTAGACAGCGGTCACGGGCTGCTTCCTGGGGGTGGAGGCCTGGTCGAGGACCGGGCCACGGGGACACTAAAGCCCCGAAATCATCTCAAGATAACCTCAAGATAACCACCCTATGCCCCTGTTACCTAGCAGTAAAATAGGTACCTGGGTGTTAGTCAGCTGTCTCGGGCTGCTTCCTGGGGGTGGAGGCCTGGTCGAGGACCGGGCCACGGGGACACTAAAGCCCCGAAATCATCTCAAGATAACCTCAAGATAACCACCCTATGCCCCTGTTACCTAGCAGTAAAATAGGTACCTGGGTGTTAGTCAGCTGTCACGGGCTGCTTCCTGGGGGTGGAGGCCTGGTCGAGGACCGGGCCACGGGGACACTAAAGCCCCGAAATCATCTCAAGATAACCTCAAGATAACCACCCTATGCCCCTGTTACCTAGCAGTAAAATAGGTACCTGGGTGTTAGTCAGCTGTCACGGGCTGCTTCCTGGGGGTGGAGGCCTGGTCGAGGACCGAGCCACGGGGACACTAAAGCCCCGAAATCATCTCAAGATAACCTCAAGATAACCACCCTATGCCCCTGTTACCTAGCAGTAAAATAGGTACCTGGGTGTTAGTCAGCTGTCACGGGCTGCTTCCTGGGGGTGGAGGCCTGGTCGAGGACCGGGCCACGGGGACACTAAAGCCCCGAAATCATCTCAAGATAACCTCAAGATAACCACCCTATGCCCCTGTTACCTAGCAGTAAAATAGGTACCTGGGTGTTAGTCAGCTGTCACGGGCTGCTTCCTGGGGGTGGAGGCCTGGTCGAGGACCGGGCCACGGGGACACTAAAGCCCCGAAATCATCTCAAGATAACCTCAAGATAACCACCCTATGCCCCTGTTACCTAGCAGTAAAATAGGTACCTGGGTGTTAGTCAGCTGTCACGGACTGCTTCCTGGGGGTGGAGGCCTGGTCGAGGACCGGGCCGCGGGGACACTAAAGCCCCGAAATCATCTCAAGATAACCTCAAGATAACCTCAAGATAGATATTATTCCTTAAAAACGTCTGATATTAAGCAGCACTCAGCTGTATTAAGAAGCACTATTAAGCTGTTTTTATGAGAATATTTTTAACTCCCCGTGAAATCTAGGAAGCTAATATTCAATTTTGATATTTGGAGTAAATATTTGTCGTAAAATAAGATTTAAAAATTTTTTGCCCCATTATTTTGAGTGTTTTTTCCAGAATGAAATGGAAATAGTGTGGCTCAGTGGGTGATGTGTCGCACTTGGAGACCCAAGGACGTTAGTTCGACTCCATAGTCGAACTAACGTCCTCGGAATTCAGCCCGGCCTCTAAACAAAGATGTAAAGTCCATTCCATGCACCCGCCAAACCCTCAGCTGTTTACGAATGAAAAACGGTTTACACACGACTCACAACTGAAGACGTCTGAACACTTCCGGATCAAGTGCTTCACTGACGACTTGTGTTCGAACCACAACGCTGTAAATGCTTCACCCACGTACTACAAATACAAATAATCGCCAACAGACCCTGAACACCTAACTTAACCTATGTCAGTATATGCACAATATGATAATATATTATAATATTAATTTACATTTGAGAAAGTTCCCGTTTTGAATGAACAACATGTAAAAATTTATGAATGCGTCTGTGGGGTCGACCGCTGGATGGAATGGACTTGGTCTGAAGACGGAGTGCAGAATTCCCATTCTGTTCCATAGATCTCATCTCTGATTTATTTATAAGTGTTTCAACATTTAAGTGAAAACTTTGATTGAAATGTTGCAAATAATTTTCCAAAGTTATCAACAAACTTAGACGATACTTTAAATCAAACTCCGATATTTAATGTTAGATTTGCTGGTATTTTACAATTTACAATTTGTTTTAATTTTACAATTTATTTGCGATGTTAACGAGATCTAATTTACAGAATTTCAAGATCAAATTTCAAAGCGTTATCAAGTAAGCTTCTTACAATCATTACAGCTTATTTGCGAAATTTTGAATTTCAAGAATGATGATTCTGCAACATTAAATAATATTCCTTTTAAACCATTTAAAAACTGAATGATTTACATTAAATTATAAACTACCTGAATGAACATCTGACCGGCAGAATCAACAGATCAACCCAATCGACCGATAAATGGATTGATGAGATATTTAATCCACTGACCTTAAGAATATTTTCTTTAATGAAGTCCCCGATGCTTAGACCCTCAGGCATCTCAGCCAATGGAGCGGCAAGTCTCTGGCAGGCATCTTGGGCGACGTCTGGGAGTGCAGCTTCCGTGTCCTCATCTGTGGGGAGAGATGAGAGGGAGATGATGGGAGGGAGATGGGAGGAAGATGCTGAGAGGGAGAAATAAGTGGAAGATGCTGATTCCAAAGCTATAGATGCAGATTCCAAAGCTATAGATGCTGTTGACCAGACGACACCATAGGTTGACCTGTTGACTAGACCGACCAGAGTTTCGGCCCAGGACGGACCGAAACGTCGTCGTCCCTTCACCTTCTAGTGTGTGGTCTGGTCAACATACTTTAGCCACGTTATTGTGACTCATCGCCTGCCTATAGATGCAGATTCCTAAGCTATAGATGCTGATTCCAAAGCTATAGATGCTGATTCCAAAGCTATAGATGCTGATTCCAAAGCTATAGATGCTGATTCCAAAGCTATAGATGCTGATTCCAAAGCTATAGATGCTGATTCCAAAGCTATAGATGCTGATTCCATAGCTAGAGATGTCTAACTATTCTCTGTTTCACTCCAATCGGATTTGTCGGCTATAAAATCACCCGCCTCTGGGGTTTTTGGATTCACTAAATCCGGATTTACTGCCGTTCCAGCATCCTCTGGTTCTTGGATTCACGGGTGTGATCAACAGCCAGGGATTTTGGGATTCGCCAGAATCGAATTTACAGGTCGAAGGCCACCCAAAAATTCACCAAAGCACCGATATCACATTTTATTATTTTGCGAAACTTTAAAAATAAGACTAGGCTTGGTTGGACGATCTATTGGACCAATTTGACAGTGACCTATTTTGGGACTTATTTGGTTAAGAGGTATATCGTGAAACATGATAATAGGGTAGATAATAGACGGGGGAATCGGTGGGTTGTTTCAAGCGCAGGTTAGACGTGAATGAATTTGGGTGATTATAAATAGAAGATGCTTCGTGTGAGCCAATAGGAGCTGCCTCGTATGGACCAATAGCAGCTGCCTCGTATAGACCAATAGCAGCTGCCTCGTATGGACCAATAGGAGCTGCCTCGTATGGACCAATAGGAGCTGCCTCGTATGGACCAATAGGAGCTGCCTCGTATGGACCAATAGGAGCTGCCTCGTATGGACCAATAGGAGCTGCCTCGTATGGACCAATAGGAGCTGCCTCGTATGGACCAATAGGAGCTGCCTCGTATGGACCAATAGCAGCTGCCTCGTATGGACCAATAGCAGCTGCCTCGTATGGACCAATAGCAGCTGCCTCGTATGGACCAATAGCAGCTGCCTCGTATGGACCAATAGCAGCTGCCTCGTATGGACCAATAGCAGCTGCCTCGTATGGACCAATAGCAGCTGCCTCGTATGGACCAATAGGCCTTCTTCAGTTTCTCACCTCTTATAGTACATGATCAAGAATCTTTGGATATTGTTAAGAGTGACATATGAAGCAGTTAGATTATTGTAATGAAAAGTATGTACTAATTACTTGCCTCTTCTATGCAATAAGTCATTGAAGTTCTTTTTAGTCAATAACTCACTGTAAATTTTGTATATAATAGCTCACTGAAGTACTTTTATGCAATAACTCACTGTAATTGAATACACAGTTTTCACAGTACTTAGAAGCGTTTAAGTTTCTGATTGACTCCAAATTTTGTAAATCTCTCACATATGGTTTAATTTTCTCTCCAAGTGAGGGAAAAAATATGGATATAGGGGAGGAGAAGGTGAGGAAAGTTAAACCTAGACGTGGAAAAACCTGTCCTCTCACCTAATCCGTCACATTTCTTACGGAGTCGACCAATCCGTTAAAAATGCAACGTATTAGCGAAACTTTAACCACCGTCATTTTGACGTTTGTTCAATGCATTGACCTTGATAGGTTGATTTACTTGGGGAAATACTGGTTCAGTAACAGGGTTGTAGATTTGTGGAACCAATTGCCGCTTAACGTGGTGGAGGTGGGGTCCCTCGATTGTTTCAAGCGCGGGTTGGACAAGTATATGAGTGGGATTGGGTGGTTATAAATAGGAGCTGCCTCGTATGGGCCAATAGGCCTTCTGCAGTTACCTTTGTTCTTATGTTCTTATGTTGATACGTTTTAAGTTAGGTAACAAGGTGAAGGCTCAATTGAGGGGCAGGTAAAGAACAAGTGAATGAACAGTGAAGAACAGGTGAATGGTGAGAGGGATGTAGGCACCTGAGTGAAGGGGGGAAGGGGGGAAGAAAGTGCCTTAACAGCAACAACTCAACATCCTCCAGCTTCAAAACAATATTGGAAATCGTTAGACCATTCCGCTAAGGATTTTTTTTATTTGTTGAGACAAAAGTTTGAGGATCCCTTACGCGGTCTCCAGCGACATGACAAAGGATCGGGACGCATTTTTATCCCCGATGTGTAAGCGATTGTGCGTGAGTGTGTCTGTGTATGTGTATATGTATGTATGTATGTATGTATGTATGTATGTATGTATGTATGTATGTATGTATGTATGTATGTGTGTATGTATGTATGTATGTATGTGTATGTATGTATGTATGTATGTATGTATGTAGTATTATGTATGTATGTATATATGTATGTATGTATGGTATGTATGATTTTCAGTCGCATATAGTCATGGGGACCATTCAGGCTGTATGTATGTATGTATGTATGTATGTATGTATGTATGTATGTATGTATGTATGTATGTATGTATGTATGTATGTATGTGTACTCATCTAGTGTAGCTGTGGCTCTTTGCTTGATCCTTATTAATCAAGTTATATGTGATTTTATTAGTAATTTTATGTATTTTTTGTATGTATCTTTATCTTAAATAAATAGGAGATAAATAGGGCCTATAACTGAACTACTAAATACGGCCGTATTGCACCCAACAATTACACAAAGCTTTAATCACTTAACAATTTGGCTTCCTCTATTTGGTCCCAATTTCAATTTATAGTGAAAAAAGTTGAATTATAAATAGGGAAAAGAAATTAAACTAGAAACAGGATAAAACTGCACACAGAAATAGGATAAAAATAGGATTTAGTAAAATTAGAAATAGGGTTTTAGGATAAAAATGTATTCACTGTTTAATACATTATTGACCACTTCTATTAATTAATTTATTAATTAAATTAATTAATAGAAAAAATAATGTGCAATACATTATTGACCAATTCTATTAATTAATTTATTAATCATTAATTATTATTTTATTATGGGAATTAATATTATTTTATAAGTATCAATTATAGTCATTATTGTTATTTTTATTATTAATTTGTATATATTAATTATGTATCATTATGTATTGTTGTTAATTGTTCTGGGTATTGCTGTGTTATGTGTCATGTATCATATGTATCCAGAGTGTACTGCAAGGCGATTATGTATACCGTAAGTATCCAGTGTTTACTTGAAGTCAGTTATGTGTACCATATGTATCCAGTGTGTACCGGAAGGCGATTTTGTGTACCATATGTATCCAGTGTGTACCGGGAGGCGATTATGTGTACCATATGTATCCTGTGTGTACTGGAAGGCGATTTTGTGTACCATATGTATCCAGTGTGTACCTGAAGTCGGTTATGTGTACCATATGTATCCAGTGTGTACTGAAGTCGGTTATGTGTACCATATGTATCCAGTGTGTACCTGAAGTCGGTTATGTGTACCATATGTATCCAGGGTGTACCGTATATTGTGTTTACGAGAGAACAACGGAGCGTTGGGCAATTAGCCTTTCCTGAACAACAAAATTTATCCAACTGGTAATTAGTTATGAATGATTAGGGTAATTAATGCCCAAATCGCCTCGTTAATACCAAAGCTTTCTATGTATATAATTAATGTTCTCTGTTTTAATGGCTTCGCTAACCGGAGTCTGTTGTTGGGAGAGCAGGGCTTTTGTTGACCCGCTTTTAGGGTCTTTTTTTTTGGCTTAAAAGGCCCTTTTTTTTAGGCTTAACGGGTCCTGTTTTGCTTCGGGTGCTTTTTTGGGCTTTTTGGGGGGTTTTCGGGTGCTTTTTTGGGCTTTTGGGGGGGTTTTCGGGTGCTTTTTTGGGCTTTTTGGGGGGTTTTCGGGTGCTTTTTTGGGCTTTTTGGGGGGTTTTCGGGTGCTTTTTTTGGGGGGGGGTTTTCGGGTGCTTTTTGGGGCTTTTTTTTCGGGTGCTTTTTTGGGCCTTTTTGTTAGCTTTTGTGGTGTGTGGCTTTTCTTGCGACGCTGTTGTGTAGCAGAGGACGAGTTTTTGTGTGTTATCACTTCGATATTTTGGCGGGTTGAGTTTTAGCTTTTGGTGTGTGGCTTTTCTTGCGACGCTGTTGTGTAGCAGAGGACGAGTAGTTTGTGTGTTATCACTTCGATATTTTGGCTGGGTTGAGTTTTAGCTCCTGGTTCAGCCTCTCTCTAAATCTGTCGGGGTTTGAACAGATCTGCACTTAAAAGTGCTTACGAAATCTCTCTCTGTCTCTCTCTCTCTCTCTCTCTCTCTCTCTCTCTCTCTCTCTCTCTCTCTCTCTCTCTCTCTCTCTCTCTCTCTCTCTCTCTCTCTCTCTCTCTTTCTCTCTAGGTGGTAGAGTAACACAAGGGGCACACGAACAAGGGGACACAGGTGGAGACTGAGTACCCAAATGAGCCACAGAGACATTAGAAAGACCTTTTTCAGTGTCAGAGTAGTTAACAGATGGAATGTATTAGACAGTGATGTGGTGGAGGCTGACTCCATACACAGTTTCAAGTGTAGATATGATAGAGCCCAATAGGCTCAGGAACCTGTACACCAGTTGATTGACAGTTGAGAGGCGGGACCAAAGAGCCAGAGCTCAACCCCCGCAAGGACAACTAGGTGAGTACACCCTCGCACGCACGCACACAAGAGTACATACGCACACACAAGAACATGTAGGTATAAACACATATGTATGAACATATAATAACCCACAAGTAAGAACACGTAGCAAAGAACATATAACTAAAAACATATAACAAATAATTAAAGAATATATAGACAAAAAAGTCAAAATAATTACTACACATAAACACACTATATAAATTTGAACATGAAAAAACGATATCAAACGTAGACTCATTCCATTCATCCTCTGAGTGTCTCATGATGATGAGGTAGTGAGGGAGTCGGAGCCTCCAGGCCCTGGTTTATGAGGCAAGTTTCAGGCCACGGAGGACACAGGTGAGGGAGATAAAGCGGAAGCAAGCTTAAACATGTTGGAAACGTGTTTTAAACAAGTCTTTTGGGGTTTTCAGGCTGAGTCCGCCGCCATGTTGGGTCTGACCGGGTTTCTTTTGTGTGTGTGTGGATAATGTTTTATCCTATTTGTGTGAGAACAATAAGATGGAGGGAAGGGAAGGAATTATCTGGGGAAAGCGCCAAGCCATTACGACTATATAACACTGGGAAGGGGTCAGGATAAGGATTTGGGATGGGACGGGGGAAAGAATGGTGCCCCCAACCACTTGGACGGTCGGGGATTGAACGCCGACCTGCATGAAGCGAAACCGTCGCTCTACCGTCCAGCCTATGTGGTAAATAGATATGATATATGGAGTAGATATGATAGATAAAATAGTCTATATATATTAGATAGGCGACCTAAGCTCGGTCCTGTAGGCACAAATGTTAATATCCCACATACACGTACAGTTGGGTTCGTTTTGACTCACAATCGGGAATCCCAGGTTCGAATACTGGGCGGGAGAGGATCAATTGGGCACGTTTCCTCTCACCTCTATTGTCTCTATTCACCTAACAGTAAATAGGTACCTGGGAGCTAGTTAACTATTGTGGATGGCAACCTGGAGAGGGGGCAGTAGATGGGAAGGGGGGGGGGGACCTCGATGTAAACCTAACGTATATACATACACAGGCTGCCTGTCCCCAACAAACTTAACTATTTTGTGTAATAGTGTTATTGGAATATGCAGGCGATGAGTCACAATAACGTGGCTAAAGTAATTTGACCAGACCACACACTAGAAGGTGAAGGGACGACGACGTTTCGGCCCGTCCTGGACCATTCTCAAGTCGATTGTCCTGGACCTCATTCGACTTGAGAATGGTCCAGGACTGACCGAAGCGTCGTCGTCCCTTCACCTTCTAGTGTGTGGTCTGGTCAAATTATTCGAATATAGTGGCTTTAAGGTCCACGAATGGTCAGTGCTGGAAATGACGAGAAAGGTTGAAGCCTCTGCCTGTGAAACATAAACAAGGGATACCAGACAGACTATCAACAGGAATATGACTGTAGAACTTATTTAATGTGTATGCAGATAGGATAAAGTGTGGTTATAGGGAAACGGAGTGAAGGAACAATGTCCGACCACTGGGATTATCGAGGATCGAACCCAATCCTGCAAAAAACGAGGCCGTCACCCTACCACCCAGCTAAGTGGTACTCACAAACAACTTAGTCATCTTATCCAGCATGGTAAGTAAAAGATACACATGGAAAAATATATCACAAGACTGTGATCTATGAGAGAAAGAGACCAGGTAAATCTAGGTACGCAAGTTCGATCCCATCTTACGGCTTCAACATTGTCCTAAACACAATACAATATACAACAAAAAGATCAAAATGTGTATTTTTTATTTTGTTGCGTCATTTATTAAGTTCTCAGGAATGGTGTGTGCTGTATGGGGTGGGATTGTATAAATGAAAAAAATACAGTAACTGCTGTAAACGATGGGGTCGTTAATGTATTCAGCGGGCCTCATAGCGGCCATTATCCTAAACACTCGGGAAATGAGGCAGATTTGAATTACTGCGCCTCTTGTGTGATAAATATGTCATCACCTAAAATGTTTAGTTTGGTCAAATACCTGTACGCCTCTGCCCTGCTTAGCGCCACACACACACACACACACACACACACACACACACACACACACACACACACACACACACACACACACACACACACACACACACTACGAGGTACTAATTAAAAATAGTAGTAACAGTTGATTGACAGTTGAGAGGCGGGCTGAAAGAGCAGAGCTCAACCCCCGCAAGCACAACTAGGTGAACTAGGTGAATACACACACACACACACACACACAAACACACACACACACACACACACACCCAAAGTGTTTGGCTCACCCAAAGAGCCAAAGCTTAACCCCCGCAAACACAATTAAGCGAGTACACACACACACACACACACACACACACACACACACACACACACACACACACACACACACACACACACACACACACACACACACACCCCTACACACAACACAGGTCACTCACCACCAACAAGGTACCCATCAGGCGTAACCTGAAGAAACTTGAGATCGAAGTGGGTGACATCCTTCTCCCCGAAGCCTTCGACGTCGGCTCCACCCATCGTCTCCTTGACGAGTTCCCTGTCCAGGTCAGGGTAGGACACGGTCTTCCGTCCCCTCCGTGCCAGGCACAGGATCACGGCCACCAACACTGTCAGGCAGCAGCAGCATGGAAGAAAGAAAAAATGAAAGGAAGGCAGAGAAGAAAAAGGGAAAGGGGGAAAGGAAGAAAAGAGAAGAGCGATGGAATTAGGAATAAAATAGAAAGCAAAAATAGCAGCAGAAGCGAAAAAAATGAGAAAAATGGAGAATAAAAATATAAATATGTCTATTTTTATAACAATATTGCGTAGTGACGTTCCTAAATTTTTTTGGAAAATTAAAATCAATGTTAAATATGCAGTTGAATAGACCTTTGAGAATTGAGAATAGAAGACAGACTTACGCAGGAGACAGAGAAGACTAGCAAGTATGATGATGATTGACTGCTGTCCCAGAACGACTCTGGATGTCCTCGGCGCGTCGCAAGGCTGAAATGTCTGCTTACTGAAGTCCGTGGCGTTGAGGTCGTACAGATGGTCGTTGTGGCGGACTTCGAGGATACAACCGCTGAAGGGAAAGATGGCCGGAGGGGTAAGCGTCCAGTCGTACGACGCAGCCAGTTGTGGGAAGCTGACCATCGCTGCTACACCTCCTACTTGCAACGGTCCCTGTACGTTGAGCAGGTGGCTTGCGGTGCTGGATTGGCTTGGCAGTGCGACGGTTTTCTTGCACGGTTCCAGGGCTTCCAGGGTGGAGTTGATGCCGCAATCAATCACTTCGGCGGTGACACCACCTTCGTTCCAGGTGATGATGTATTCGAACGCCCGTTCGGTGTTTTCCTCAATCGGGATGGAGATGTTGAGAGTCCCCGTCCCCAGGTCGAGGAAAGTCTCGACTATCCAGCAGTGGAGGACGACGTACAGGAAGTCCCGAGGATAATCTGGCCATGGGGATAGCACCGTAGGTCCAGTGTAGAGAAGCACCCCGCTCTCATCATTGGTTTCGAACGTCACGGATAGGGTCGAATGATTGCAAACGGTCAAGGGTTCGTACCAAGCAAAGCCGCGTTCGAATCTTGCAGTGAGAAGCTCGCATCGCGGGCCGTAGTTAGTACCATCGAGACAACTACATGTCAACGTATTATTCCGAACAGAACACGTGCCACCGTTGAAACAGAACCCGGAGAAACAGACAGACGGGAGGGGTTCAAGAGCCCCACAGTCGCAAGCGTAGTCGTCGGCGATGTCAACCCCGACGACAGTAGCCGTGTCGCCGGAGACAACGAGCGGAGAGGTGAGATTGGGCCGCATGGTGTGTTGACAACTTCGGGTCCCGCAGGGAGAAGTAGCTTCATAAAGACACGCATTGATATCCACCAGAGAGATCTCCACGCCCAGAGCCTCCGAAACCTGCAAACACACACACACAAACACGTTTTTCATTGTTGTTGTTGTTATAGATTCAGCTACTCGGAACAAGATCCAAGTAGCACGGGCTATGGTGAGCCCGTAACTTACCTGGCACAGGAGCGGGGCAGGTAGCACGGGCTATGGTGAGCCCGTAGTGGACTTACCTGGCACAGGAGCGGGGCAAGTAGCACGGGCTATGGTGAGCCCGTAGTGGACTTACCTGGCACAGGAGCGGGGCAAGTAGCACGGGCTATGGTGAGCCCGTAGTGGACTTACCTGGCACAGGAGCGGGGCAAGTAGCACGGGCTATGGTGAGCCCGTAGTGGACTTACCTGGCACAGGAGCGGTGCTGAATGTGCTGTGTGAGCTTCTGCACGTTTTTCAAGCCATTGCCAGTCATATATGTGTTTATATCCCACACAAAAATATACAATAGCCATGTGGACACACACACACACGCACACTCGCGTGAATACACCCACACAGCCACACCAGGACCTAACCTGTCTCCTCCTACGAAGCATGACACCGTCTAGACGGGCGGCGGTGTAGTACGGAGAGCCGTGACAGTTGTACCTCATGTCCACAGCAGTCTCACCCTCCACATCCTTCAGGGCGAAGACATCCACCTGCGTCTCTGAGATGTCGTGGATTCTCGCGATTTGCTTCTTCAGTCGTTCGTATAGGCTTGTCCCAGACACTCCCGGCTGGTGAGAGGGTGAGGGAAGAATATCATTGATATATATATATATATATATATATTATATATATATATATATATATATATATATATATATATATATATATATATATATATATATATATATATATATATATATATATATATATATATATATATATATATATATATTATCATATATATAGAATATATATATATATTAAGGCGTCCCTATATGAAAAGCTGTTTAAATTAGCATAGTAGAACTCTGTTTAGTGTTTGCAGGTTATAGTTGTGTGTGTGTAAACTAGAGTCTTGGAAAATGTAATAAGTTATTACGAAACGGGTTCAAGTGTCGCGTCAGACTAGAAATAAAAATGAATTTTGGAGAATTGATTTTTCAATTACCATCGACAGTGAAAAGAAACATAAGAAACATTGAGAAAATTCGTGTTAGAATTATTAATCTTACTTTTTCGGTCATATTTTAGGTTAGGTAGGTTAGGTCGTCGAAAAACAATTATCATATTTAATATATATATATATATATATATATATATATATATATATATATATATATATATATATATATATATATACATACATACATTAATCACAGGTGCAACAGGCTGGCAAAATATGTAATCAAAATAATCCCAATAATTTAAATAATTACAATTAACAGCAGCAACAATTAATCCTGGGATTTACATATTTATAAATGAGACATCATGAAAGATATTTATCTGAGCTCACACTAATGAGCACCGTAATAGGGGGCGGGGGGGGGGGAATCACTCGGTAATGAGCGCCCCCCCAGCCCCCCCCTCATGAGGGGGGGTACGTACTTGTTATATATTAATTTATCGTTATCATGTCTCAACGAGGCCTAATTAAGCGTTGTTCTTGCGTTATCTTGTGGATAAAACTAATGTTGTGGCCCCGAAGCGATTGGTTACTGTTAGTTGGGTGTAACTTTGTGTTGTTCACGGGTTATTCATGCCCGTGCCACCTCTTGGGTGGCTTAATCTTTATCAATTAATCAATCAACTTTGTGACGGGAGACATCTCCCGTCACGCAGGGTGCAGTCGCACCTCCACAGATCTCCAGTATCACCTCTTGATACTGGTAATGGCTCAAAAGGGCCACCACTTACGGGTTATTCATGCCCGTGCCACCTTTTGGATGGCTTAATCTTTATCAATCAATCAATCAACTTTGTGTCAGGATTCTGTTGTCAAGAATCAATTGACTCTTGATTCTTGCAAGAGTCACAGTATGCTATTATGACTTTTGCAAGTTTCTCTCCTTTTTCTAAGAGGTGTCTGACCTATCTTCCCCTTGAACTATGTTATCCAAGACCTATTTTACCCTAGACTTACCTTATCCTCGACCTATCTTTCCTCTAGAGCTGTTATCCTCCATCTTTTTTACGACAGCTCTATCTTACCTCTCATTTTCCCTTCGACTTATCTTACCCTAAATCTACACTACCCTCGGCCTCTCTACCCTTCAAGATATCTTCCCTTCGACTTATATAGTCGTAATGACTTGACATTATCGATGATATCCTCGAGTTATCCTCGTTCCACGATATCCTAGTCCTCACCTGTCGCTGCTGCAGTATGGAGTGTGTGGTGGTGTTGGCAATCCGTAGGGAACCAGACTGCATGACGGCCGACAGAGTAAGGTCAACGACATTAATGGTAGTTTGCCCGACGGCCATCTCTCGTCGGAAGTTGTCGTGCACCTGAGAAAGGGAGAAAGATGTGTAAGTCAAAGGTGTCAAGGGTAGCAAAGGTTTATCATACGAGGGTGTTTCCGGCCAAACACACACCGAAACTACGACGTTGGTACAACGTTCGAACAAGTTTTGACACCTCCTAACCTAGAGGGGCCTGGTAGCCTGGTGGATAGCGCGCAGGACTCGTAATTCTGTGGCGCGGGTTCGATTCCCGCACGAGGCAGAAACAAATGGGCAAAGTTTCTTTCACCCTGAATGCCCCTGTTACCTAGCAGTAAATAGGTACCTGGGAGTTAGTCAGCTGTCACGGGCTGCTTCCTGGGGGTGGAGGCCTGGTCGAGGACCGGGACACTAAAG